AGCTATTGAATTAAATTTCCGCCAGTTGAATGCAGGTTGGCTTATTCCTTTGCTCTGCCTGAACGTGGAATGATGCGCTGGATCCAGTAGGAGTTTTGGCTTCATACAGGCAGCGTTTGGGAAGCAGTGGAAATGTTGGCAGCGTGAGATTGCTGCCTTTGGCTGAGGAGAATCTGACTTCCTGAGGTTATTTTTGATTGAACACCCAAAGGGCATAGGGAATTGTCTGGAGAATCAAGTGCATCTTCACTTGCAACACTCTGATTTCTTAATGTAACTTTTGTATTTGATTTTCATGCAAAAGGTTCTTGAAGGTGAATATCTTTGTATAGATCTTTGTGAGAATTTGTATATGTTGTCATACAAGTGATTCTTCATCTGTTAGTCCTGTTGATAAAAGTACAAGTGTTATATCAAGGCATGTTATGTTCTAGTTTTTAGTGATTGTTTTGAAGGTAATCTGTTCTTGACTGTTGAGGTGAGAGCGTTTTTAATCCCTAGCCAAAGCACCCCTGCTTACTTTTTATCAATCATAATTCAGTGATTGGGAAATTAGACTTTTTTGAGTCACTTGCCTCCTTTGATCTACAACAACATCAAGTTTTAAGTTACTTTATGCTTTTTTTTCCTCCTATATTGGAACTATTGGAAAGTTTAAAGGCTAAAATTAAATTCTCAAAATCCAGAACAGAAGTTCAACGTGTAAATTTGCAAAACACCTGAATGAAGATAAAGGAATTGGAAAGTGTCTGATGTTTTTTATCTACTCAGTAGATGGCATTTCTGTCATGCTCCTAATGACAGCTCATTTCTCTTGTCTCATCTCTTTGATTTTTTTTTTTAAACATCTATTTGAGACTGCTTTCCAAAGTTATTTTTGAACTCCTCTGTGGAAAAAAAAAAAGTATTTCTTATCCAGTAGGAAAAAATCTTGAAATAATTTTTCATTACGTGGGTAAAAATAATTTATTTTCAATTGTTTTAAGGTTGTCAAATGCCATTTTGTAGCTGATACTCTGAGGTTGAAAAAGGACACTAGTAATCTCATGAACATTGAATTTGTTATGTCCTGTGTTAATATCTGATCTTTTCCAGTGTCCCTTTATTCAATCTTGATATTTTTGATCATTGAGAAAAGTGAATTGTGCCACCTTTTTCTAGGCCTTACTGTTGCCATAGTTTTCAGGGGGTGAAAATAGAAAAGAAAAAACTCTAGAGCACTGGGAGAGATTCTACCCATCTTTGTGACAGGTTTTGGTTCTGCTTGTCTGGTTTGGGTTTATTACACCTATGAGTGGTGGAAATTGTGCTTGCTTCTACATTTAGCCCTTATGTTTTGTTTTGTTTTTCCTCTAGTTTCTTCAGTTCTTTGCAAGCAGGTGTTCGGGCACAGGGTTCCTGGCAGCCTTGCTCTGACCCTGACCACGTCACCTAGATCCTAGCATCGTTCTCTGAGGCAGACGGGCTCACTGAAGAGCACCAGCCTGGTTCAGAGGGCTTGGCTGGAGCTTGCGGAGATTCACCTTTAGTTCTGTGTTGTCAAGACTGGCTTTACATCTGCTTGCTTTCTTAACGGAGCCGTGGCAGATTCTCTTGCTTTTTGTGAAGACTGATGAAGTTCCCGTCTTGCTTGTTCACCTACAAACGGTGTTGCTTGGGATCCCTCTGTAACAGCTTGGGAGTAGAAGCTTTGTCTAAGTAAGCCTTTCGGATGAGGCCTGACGCTTTGGGGTGGAAATATATTCAGTTATGACAGTGGCAGCTTTCCGATTGAATCTAAAATGACTTTTGAATAGGAGATGAGAGATGGCAGGTTGGCTGTTTCTTCGAACTGCTGTTCAGCGGTACAGATTGCATTTAATCCACTTCGAGCTACAACTTGTTTGGCAGTCTCAGTATACAAGCTTACAGAAGAGTGTCCTAAAGGAAGTTCTCTCCTATTAAAAACTTAGGTAAAGCCTTCTGTAAAGGTGGTCCTGTCAGAG